TGAGACAGAGTCTCACTCTGTTCGCCAGGCTAGAGTGATAGCCGTGGCGGCAGCCTAGCTCACAGCAACCTCAAACTCCTGGGCTCAAGCATCCTCCTGCCTCTAGCCTCCCGAGTAGCTGGGACTACAGGCATGCGCCACCATGCCCGGCTTATTTTCTATATATATTAGTGGCAATTAATTTCTTTCTTATTTATAGGTAGAGGAGTGGGTCTTGCTCTTGCTCAGGCTGGTTCTTGAACTCCTGACCTTGAGCAATCCACCGCCTCGGCCTCCCAGACTGCCAGGATGACAGGCGTGAGCCACCGCGCCTGGCCGCCTCTGCGTCTTTAAAGCAGAGCCCAGGACGCAGAGGGCCCAGCAGCGCGGACGCCTAGCCCACCAGGCTCTGGTCCGAGGGCCGTGACCAGGCCGGACCCTGCACTCCGACGGAGCCGAGACTCCCATGCAGCCCCGGGACGCCTCCCTCCTCCCCGCGCCTGTGGGCGGACAGCTCCACACTGGGGTCTCCTGGCAGCCACGCGGAGCAACAAACTGAGAGGGACCGAGGAGGAAGCTCCGTAGATGGTGGGCCCCAGCCCCGCAAGACGCCTGCCGGGACCTGCTGGGTTGTGGGGGACGTGTGAACTCCTCCATCCCGAAGATCATCGCAGCGGAGAAAGGACGCCCTCGGAAGTGTGTCAGGGCCACTTACACCCCACTCGGCCACGATGGCCGCAGACGGTCACTTGTGGGTGCCCCACCATTGCAGCGGAGGTGAGCACAGCGAGGCAGGGCCGGAGTGGGCACCATGCCTCGGCGGACGCCGCCGCCGCGCCGTCGTCTGCCTGGCTTCTATTCTCTCTCTTTTCATACGACATGCGATGATGCAGTAAATCTTGCCGTTAGTAGGCAGGGCGCGGTGGCGTCAACGCCTGTGGTAATCCCAGCACTCTGGGAGCAGAGGCGGTGCGGAGTTGCTCAGGTCAGGAGTTAAACCAACCTGAGCAAGAGCGAGACCCCGTCTCCTATAAAAGAAAGAAGATGTAATTGGGTCAATAATTTATATGAGAAAAAATTAGTCGGGCATGGGTGGCGATCTGTAGTCCCAGCTACTCGGAGCTGGAGGAAGGATCTGCTTGAGCCGGAGTTTGAGGTTGCTGTGAGCGAGGCTGACGCCACGGCACTCACTTAGACTCTCTGGGGAACAAAGTGAGACTGTCTCAAAAAAAAAAAAAATTGCCATTTTAAAATAAAAAAAAAAAAATTTGCCATTTTAGCCATTTCTGAGTGCGCAGTCCTGTGGCATTAAATTCGACGCTTCCACACTGCGGCACAGCCTCACACACACCCGTCTTCCAGAACCTTTCTTTCGCCGAACTTGCCACTCTGTCCCTGTTAAACACTAAGCCCCGCAGCCCCAGCCCCGCAGCCACCAGGCCGGCTTCCTTTTCTGTGGCCTTCGGCCTCTCTGGGACCGGTGGACGCAGATGGCCGTGTCCGCACGGCTAGCAGACGTCTTTGCTACGAACGGAACCGCGTCCCGCCCCGGCCGGGGCCTGTGGGGACGTGAGGGTGGCCCTAGGTGACTGTCGTCCTTGAAAGGGGACGAGACACCAGGGACGTCCTCGTACAGAGGCACGAGCCCGCGAGACCCCAGGCGGCACAAGCTGAGGAGAGGCAGGCCAGGGAGGGACCGGGCCTGGGACACCTGAGCCGGGCAGGAAACCGAGTCGTCCCAGCCGCTGGCCTGCGGGCTTCGCTGCGTCGCCCGAGGCCAACCAGGGGCCTCGTTCCCCCCGGGAGAAAACGTTAGGAGGCTTTGGTTTTGTCGTTTCCAGAGTAGGACACAAACGTTTCAAACACTAAACAGAGACAGGCACAAGTTGAAAGTGATTATACAACGACCAGCGTCAACCAGGTGACCCTGTGGGTCAAGGGTGAGAGTGGCCAAGGACACGTGAAAACACCACGTGGGCGCACAGACGCCGGGGCCTCGGGTTGGATACCTGGGTCCTGCCCGCGCTCTGCTGGCGGCCGTTGCATCCGAGGTGAGTCTCTCTGCTTTGCCTGCAACAGAAGAAATGCTCACGTCGGGGAAAAGAGCAGGGAGAAAATGTCAATTAAAGAATATTACATAAAAAAAAAAAAAAAAAAAAAAAAAAAAAAAAAAAGAAATTATACTAAGCGGCGGCGGTGGTCGTGACGGCGTTGAATCCTGGCACTGCTGGGGAGGGCCGGAGGCGATCGGAGTGCTCGACGGTCAGGAGTTCGAAACCAGGCCTAGCAAGAGCGACGACCGTCGTCTACTAATAGAGATAAAGAAGATTTAATTGCTCAACTGAAATGTGTATAGAGAAAAATTAGCCGGGCATGGAGGTGCGCAATGGCCTGTAGCCAGCTACTTGGGAGGCTGAGGCGATGGAGATTGCTTAGACCCGCCCGCCAGGAGTTTGAGGTTGCTGTGAGCTAGGTGACGCCACGCACTCTTCTAGCCTGGACATACAAAAGTGGAGACTTCTGTCTCAAAAAAAAAAAAAAAGAAGAATAAATACATAAAGCCGGCGCGTGGCTCGACGCCGTGTGATCCTAGCACTTGGGGATGCCGAGGGCAGACGGATGCTTGAGGTTCAGGAGTTTGAAAACCAGCCTGAGCAAGACGAGACCCGTCTCTACTAGTAAAAGAAAATAATTGCCAACTAACATATAGAGGAAAAAGTAAAACCGGGCATGGTGGCGCATGCCTGTAGTCCAGCTTACTCCAGACTGAGGCAGGGAGATCGCTTGAGGCCAGGAGATTGAGTTGCTGTAGAGCGTAGGCTGACACCACGCACTCATTCTAGCTGGAACCAAAGCAAGACTCTGTCTCAAATTAAAACCAAAGTATATTATATACTGTTGTGTATACAATTATACAATATATTATATAATACATACACACATAAACACTGACTTTGCTCAGAACTTAGAATTTCTAATTCTTTTTTTTTTTTTATTTTTTAGACAGGGGGTCTGCGCATATTTGCCCAGTCCGGTCTGAAACTCCTGACCTTGAACGTCCTTCCCACTCAGCGTCTTGATACTGAGTTACAGGCACGTGCCACAGTACCTGGCTAAAATCCTTATGATGAAGCTCATAGAACTGCACCTGCTAGCCTCTGAATTCCATCTTTTCCACGTGAACGTCAGTCCCTGACCTCGGCCTCTGCGGAGGCAGAGTGCAGGTCCAGCGCCCTAACTGACAGAGTGGCTTCAAACGTGCCCCAAAGCCGACTGAACCTGATGAAAGCTTTAGGCTGAGACCGTTAGAACCACTGAGGGACAGTAAGAACACGTGAGTCTGCCACCCGATAATGCCGCTCTGGGTAAAGGCCGACGGAGCCGAGACTCCCATGCAGCCCCGGGCCGCCTCCCTCCTCCCCGCGCCTGTGGGCGGACAGCTCCACACTGGGGTCTCCCGGCAGCCACGCGGGGCAACAAACTGAGAGGGACCGAGGAGGAAGCCTCCGGTATGAGTGGGCCCCAAGCCCCGCACAGACCCTGCCGGGGACCCTGCTGGGGTGGGGAACGCGTGACCTCATCCCCGAAATCATCGCAGCGGAGAAAGACGCCCTCGAAGGTGTCAGGGGCCACTTCACCCCACGGCCATGATGGCCGCAGACGGGTCACTTGTGGGGCCCCCACCAGCAGGGAGGGGACACAGCGAGGCAGGGCCGGAGGGGCACCAGGCCTCGGCGACGCCAGCGCCGCGCCGTCTGCCTGGCTTCTTTCTCTCTCTTTTCATACGACATGCATGACATAAAATCTGCCGTTTTAGGCCGGGCGTGGTGGCTCACGCCTGTAATCCCAGCACTCTGGGAGCGAGGCGGACGGATTGCTTGAGGTCAGGAGTTCAAAACCAACCTGAGCAAGAGCGAGACCCCGTCTCTACTATAAATAGAAAGAAATTAATTGGCCAACTAATACCTCTGGTCCAGGGCGCCTGACCAGCGGGCCGCGCTCCGCCGGACCCTGCACCCGACGCAGCGAGACTCATCGCCCGGGA